ACATGGTATATTTACCATGGCTACACATCTAACGTGATGAGCCGGATAACGACATCCTCAAGAACCGCAATGTTGAAAAAATAAACGGATTTTAATTTTTGATTCAAGTTTTTCAGGCTCAATCAAAAACTTCTAAAAGTGTTCACTCGGAAGGGTTCCTCACATCCAAAAGTAGCGCGCTGTTTTCTAGAAAATTTCCTTAGAAGTGTGGCGGTTGAATATTCGCAATATTTCGTAAACGGCATCAGATTTAAAGGCAGTGATTACGATAGGTCTAAGAAGGTATTGAAGAAGGCAGTTGGTGCTCAATGGAAAGCAAACGTATGAACGAGTTCACCGCAACGCGTTTGGTGACAGCATGCCAAACCATGCTCCAATCGAGTTGCTTCAGTTGTGCCGCTGCTGGCAACGCAGCTCGTCCAAATCACCAACTAGTGGGCGGATCGCTTTTGGGGCGAGTGCTTTCGAAGTCCTGCTCAGCAACCAGCGCACCTTTCGTCGTGAAAGCGCCACACCTCGCTTCCTGGCAGCCAAGTAACTGATTCGTGTGGTGCATATGCTTCCCGATGCGCTCCCTCTTTATCGTAATCGCTGCCTTTGAGATATACTGGCATTCACTCGCGTTGAAGTTTAGCTTCAGCTTGAGTCTGGTTTATAAGCAATAGTTAGAGCTCTACAATTAAGCGGCTACGGCCACGAAAATACGAGATATGCCGAATCAACATTAGGTCGTCAGCCAAGATGTCGCACTCAAGCGTAACAAGGAAAAGCATTTGTTATCTCGGAAGGCTCCATTTGTGTTTCTGGAAGAAGTCGGAGGTTGACTAAACCCACATAAACTAATACGGAGTGGGTGGCAATGCATAAAACAAGGGTTATCGTTCTGAGGGTCTCGTTTCGACGTGTCACCTAGTGAAAGTGTTTGAGAGCCATCCTGAAGCTTCTGGACGGATTCAAGTACAATGAGCGGCCATGAGTTGGAGGGAACGACTCCTCAAGTATCAAAAAAGTTGACTTGCTGGGTAATTTCTCTACGCGGCGACGATTCGCGATAGTTGTAAAGCCTCCTGAGAGCTCAACCTCGTAAATTACGGACCAGCTTTTCCAAGTTCGACGGATTTGCACCGCAGTTCAAATACTTCTTGGAAAAAAGATTTCTAGCATTCAAGTCTCGCCACCCATTCGAATAGAAGCTCTTTCGATTGGGTCATGACTCTAGAAGGGAACATGCATTTCAACAAATGTTCACTGGAGCACACAAAGGACTTCGCTTTATCTGATAGTTTCCGAGAGCTCAGAAAGCTGAAATATAATAAAAGCTGGCATCTTTCCCTTGCAATTTGTCAGGAAGACTTGTCGAGAATGTCTGTCGGGGCCTGCAGCGCCGGCACGTAGTAACCGTAAGGTCAACATTTGCTAGGCCTTATTACTACGGAATCAAACCAATATACACACGATTATGACAACTAGAAGCATCTTTCCATTAGGAGGATGGTCGAGCGTCTGCTTCATCGCTTTTCCATTCGAATTTTGACGCTCCAGTGAAATCCTTGTAGGTCTGCTAGAAGTGCTCAGGCATTTGTGAATTGTGAAAGCCATAGTTAATCCCGGAAGCAGAAATTCCAAAGTTCCTGAACAGATGTCAAAATTCCAATCAAATTATGCACGATGTCATACTTCCGAAACAAATGTTCCGCGATTCGAAATAGTCTGAAACAGGTTCGCCGTTGGCTTTCGCTACGGCGACCGCGCTTTATCGCTGGGTGGAGAGGACACCATTGCGATCGCCTGTCATCGAGGATTCACACGATTTGCTTTCAATAAGAGAGCGGATCCTCCTCATAGAAACATCACTCGGTCGGCCACCCTCCGTGTAACTTGTTTTCAGTTTTGATTTTCGCAGTGGCAATGAAGGTGAGGCAATTTCTGAAGATCATTTTTATCCAATCATTTCCCTCAATTCAGATCTTCCTCGCAACATTCCTTGTCGGATGCGCATTGGCTGAATTTACTCCTGATTTCTCTGCGTTTCTAGCTAGCTATTATGGACCACAAGTCAGAGATCAAATGGAGCGGTGAGATTTTTTTACACTTTTTTTTCTGCAAACCATTGTACTATCACCACGCTGTCTGCCTATCGCGCTCTTATGATAACTACTGTGTATAATAAAAGAGCTAATAACTCGATAAAATATTCTATGGAAATTTCCATTGCGAATGATCTCGTGAACCTCCATTTGTGGCTACTTATATAGACTAATAGACATAGTATTTATAAATCATGCAAAAATATCAAAAGAGTGCCTAATTAATTAGGATTCATTGACACAGATAAAAATAACGTTCCAGAGAGAAGGACTTGCATTTGACCAAACGTCAACAACCCTAAGTTTGATCTCGAAGATGCTATTGCGGGAGTGACAAAATGCTCGGGCCAATAATAGTTTAGCGCACTCTTACTTCATGAATGATGTGGTCTTGATTTTGTCAACAACGCGCATACAAATTTGTTTCATCGCAAACACGGTCCTTGTTCGTCTACACGAAAGGATGTTATGACTCGTTATTCTAGCATTTTTGTAAGCCTAAGTAACATAGAAGTTGTTATACAAGAAAAATCCTAAAATCCAAACGCTGATAAGATACATTTGTAGTATGGTTATGGTTGCAGCATACAGATAACTTACAGAGGTGTTCGCTAAAGCTGTGGCAAAATCGTGAAGCTTTTCGTTCTACAATTATTGAGTAATTTTACTTGACCTAGTTTTTACCACCACGATTGCAAGGTCAGCTTCTTAATAATGCTATATTGTCTCAACGGAGAGAACAGTGTTCAACTTGGTTATCATTTTAGTTGCTGGAGATATTTATGAGCCCAGTTTGATCACGATATTCTTGGGCATCGCTTCATTTTAATTTTAGCGCTTCATACTTCAGAAAACGCTATTGTTGTATAATGACATTATCCACTTTCTGCAGGACTTGAAGGTCACATGGGAAGCTAACTAGTTGAGCATGAAGTTCCAAAAAAGTTTTTCTCGCATAGATTTGCCGAATGCTCTTCAACGAGATCCCTTCATAAGTTCCAGGACCAGCACTGTCCCGCTTTGCGAGTTCGTTATGACGTTAACATCAAACTTTTTATTGTGATCTTATTTCTAACTGGGTCAATCACGCAATACGTACATTGTGGCAATAAACGTTCAAAACAACAACTGTAATTCGAAAATGGGACTGCGCTGCAAAAAGTCTCATCGCAGTTGAGTAAAAAGCCGATCGGAATCACAATCGACTTTTCGGTAGAAGAATATCTCATGACTTGATGGAAGGGATCGTTGAACGTTTGGCGTTCGCATTTTGTTACGCATCCCCCATTGTACTTCAATAAGAGTAGCAGACGCATTTCGACGTTATATCGTGATACTATCGCCCAAGTTGTGAAGCATTCGTATAGCATTCCAGTATTCGTAAAATCAGCGCTTGTAAAGGAATCCGATGAGAATAGCAAGAAGAGGTCCAGCTAGATAAGCAACGGCGAATTTTTATCATAAATAGCGCCACATGATTCAAAAATAAAGCTGTCACGACTGTATACCAACTTTGGGGTCAGGGCGTCATGTGGATTCCCCCGGATCTGAAATTGCCCCTCCACTTCCTTTAATTAGACTACGTAAAATGAACAACCATTAACTGAATGAGCCAACTTTCGTAGTCCACGCCTTTCTAGGTTCTCTGATA